AGGGCAGCCATTCATAGTCCATAAAATTAAGTTAAATAGATACCTAGTCTTAAAAAATTAAGTATTTCAGTGTAAACAGAGCATTTGAAAATACAGATCTGAATACTAGGAGAAAAAAAGCTTAAAAAGGAAAAAAAATACAGAAAGCAAAGTCCGTAGGTGACTGTGCTTCTGGAGAGTGTGTTTCATTCCATCACATGAAGCAGCAGCCCTAACCGACCCTCACGTGCGTCCTCCCGTGTACAAACCGATTCTCACCCCGTATCGGCCAGCATGGAACCTAACAGCCCCCCACGGGCTCTGAATGACAGAACGTAGGCTACAGGAATCCCACCACCTACACAGCTTTATTTGGGAGGCTCAAACACTTAAGACTTTAGGGGGTGGAAATCTGTTGACTGGAACTCTGGTAAATTGTTGCTCTAATTTCCTGGTTCCTTCCATCACACCCCTATTCTGGGATCCACCATTCGGAACGTATCACATTCATGAAGCTCTCTGGCCATCCTCCTCTTCCCACGTGATTCTTTTTCACATTTGTTAATATTTCAGAAAGAGATAAATTAAAACCGCAAAGGATACGTACAAAAAAAAAAATAGAGCTGTAAAATACCTGCTTTTGAATAAGAGATCTAAGGTCCATCCATTCTTAGAGGTGCCGGGCCCAAACCTTTCAATGTCCCTTTTTTTCTGAGTCCTTACATTCACTGCATCAGGAGGTCCGTCAGTTGCACCTCCAAAATGTGCTCACCTCGCCATCTCTCCTGGCCATTTCTCCTGCCACCTCCCTGGTCCAAACCACCACCTCTCATCCTTGTCCCAAGGATGCCCCGTGGCTCTCTCGGCATCCACTTCTGCCCCCTACAGACTCACTAACCCATCAGCCAGAGCGATCCAGGCGAGCCCATCAGGTCATCTCTCTCCTCTGCTCAGAACCCTGCGGGGCCTTCATTCTCTGGCACAAAAGCTTCTATCTCCCTATGGCCCATCCTCACTGTTCCTTCTCTGCTGTCACCTCCTACTTCTCCCCCTTGCTCCTTCCACTCCCGCCTCTAGTCCCTACAGCGTCCCCGCACAGTCCTCCCTCTGCCTGTGATGCTCCTCCCGCAGAGAGCACAGGGCTGGCTCCCCCCACCTTCTCCAGTGTTTGCGGAGCCCCTCCTCCTCGAGGCTTGCTCTCACCCCGCACTCCGCCACGGTGAATACTCCCAATTGCCCTCATCTGCGGTCTCTCTCCACAATGTTGATCACTTTGTAGCACGCTGCCTAATGTACGTATTCGTTATAGTTTTTTATTATCTGTCTCTCCCCTTCCTTAAAGTTCGAGTTTCTAAACGGTCAACACTTGGTTGGTCGAATTCCCTGATAGATCTGTGACCCCTCCAACAATTTCGAGCAGGGAGTCGAGTCCCGGGAAGTGCTTCTTGAATACATGGCTGCTTGATTAAGTTCAACCAACTATAAATAAATAAATCTCAGTGAAATATAACATTCTAAAATTAGGCTTTCGTGATACATGATTCATAATTCCACCTGTACTTTTATAGACCATCGTACCCCTACCAGTGCATCCCCCCCCAACACCTCCCCCCCATCTCCTTAAATCCCTGGGAGGGTGTGCTGGTCCACACCGTATGAGGTCAGAGAACAAAGGCCAAAAAGAAGGAAGGGAGTGAGTTGTCCAAGATCTCACGTTCGTGTTCTGGGCAGTACAAAGATGAGAGCGTGTCCCCTTTACTTAGTGGCTGCACCCACACACAACATTCTTGTCATCTCAACTCGCGAGCCTCACATCTGCCAAGACGGTGGCACCAAGTGCGTTACCCAACTTTCAATTTTGTTAACTCGACGATCATCGCTTTTGTTTTGGGTGTAGCTGAATGACTGATATTTATTGAACACGAATTATGTGAAGTATTTTAGTAGAAAACAAATTCTCAAAGCCCATCTTGCAGCCACCACTGCTGTTTTCACATTAGAGATGAGAACGTGTACGACGTTTGAACTCTGCAGGGAGACACAGACCTGGGGTTCGCTCTACAGGAGTCATTTCAGCAGGGACTGTGTTTGGACCCAGACTCCCCCACAAATGAGGGGCACGGGCTGGGTGCTCTTTCTCAGAAGGGAGGCAAGGCACCTGCCTTTCTGCGTTCAGCCCCTTAAAGGCCAGAATCCCCAAGTTATACACCTTTCATCGAAACACCACTGCAGAGTAACGACGTACAATTCTCATAATCAGATGCGTTTGTCTTGGTGCACTGTATTTCCGGGGGCTCACTCCAAGGCCTTCGAAATCACCTGCCCTCACGTCGTCTCTTACCCTAGACAGAGTAAGGCTCAGCCATGACAGCCTCAACCTGAAGCCACACGAAAACCAAAACAAGTCTCTACCATCGAAATGTCTTTGATTACAGTTCCTCTTTCTTTTCTTTTCTTTTTCCTTTGGTGCTAGAAAAATCCTAATTATCTACCTTGGTGCACTGCTTCTCCAAAATTAAAACTGTGGTTTCCTCTAAAGACATCCCCTAGGCCTGAATCCGTGGTGAAAATGTAGCATGTTCGAGATGCATGGGGGCGTTAATGCTAATTCACAACCGCGCCAGGTTTCTCCCTGTAGGGACCACATCTCAGTTGGCATTCATTAATTTTGACAGTTTGCCTATCACACTAGGATGGATTCGCTGAGTCACAGAAACTTCCCTAAAAAGAGAAGAATCACATTCTCCTTGCTATTAAGTATTCGTAACAGAATGGAGCTTGAGCATTCTCGGGGAAACCCGGCGCACTGTTAATAACCCCAGAACCTATGAATTGTGGCTTGGGCTTCACCAAGCAAAGAGCCCACAGCCACTCAAAGTCCCTCTGCTAATATACCTAATATACACCAACCAGCTGTGTAATGGGCCCAAGCACCCCCTGGGGCACAGAAGAAAAGTCATAAAATAGAGCCCATTATCCCACACTGGAAATTTGACTTGATTTGGATTTGACACTTCATTTGGAGAAATGTCCCGGAGGCATATCTTTTCTAGAAGGTTGGGGTTGGACGGGGTGGCTGGCTGTTGCCACATTAATTCTGCAGAGCACTTTTAAACTTAAAGGAGTAAGACTTTTCAAATATTCCCTCCACGATGACTTCAGAAAATCAAATTGAGTTGTAACGTCTGAAAGTTATTACTGGAACGTTTTACATTAAACCAACCCCACCTCACTCATTTCCAAGAGGGAGCGTGAGGACACTGCCAGTCACAGCACTTCCCAGCGGTGGATAAAAATCAAATCTTATGTGTAAAGACAAAAGAGTTCTGACCTCAGATGGTGTGATAAGGAGGACATGAGATCCGCACAGCCTATCAAAGGAGCACAAGCCTGGTGTGCCCTTGATCCTGACATGTCTGTCTCCACATGAGAATAACCTGGTGTGAGAGCCAAGAAGGTTTCCAGAGCAATGCAAAGTGCAGGACAGAAGGAGAGAGGAGTCTAGAGCCCAGACTCAAGCTTCCAGGTCAGTAGCGTCTTCATTTACATATTTGGGGGGTCTGCGGTATATTAACGATAGAGTGTATGTAATTCACTCATGATCCCTAAAGCCCAACATGGGTGCCATTACAAAATACGACAAAGCAAGTCTATGACTGTTAGAAAAACATTAGCCAATAGAAAGTAAGCTCATGATTCCAAGTAACCATCCCACAAGAACAGTTTTCCCATTTGCATATTTTGACCAGCATTACGCTTAAAAACAAAATAATTTAAATATTTTTTAATCATTTCTTTAAAACGTAAAAGGCCAGTAAACTAGGAAAATGTCAGAGGCAGCAAATCTAAATTTCAACCAGAAAGGTGTGGGCACAAGGATGTGAGCCGTAAGTACAAATGTCTGAATGTATTTAGGAATGGATCGAAGTCAACCTTACGGAAATTCTGAAGTATCGTGCTATTAGATTTGTCCTAACCTTGTCGCATTTAATATTTTTATTACTTAAAGATAATATAAAGATAGGCACGTTCACAAGAAGTAACGTTCATCAAAGCGTGCCAGGCACTGTTCATTATCTCGGGTGATCCCTCGCCAGCCCCACGGGGCAGGTGCTATTGTTATCTTGATTACACAGCGGGAAGTTGAGACAGGACACTAACGTGTCACACTCATAGTGGGGTCAGGGATAGAGGATGTATAAGTCAGCTCCAGCGGCCGTAACAAAACACAGACTTGGTGGCTTAAATAACAGACATCTATTCTCTCAGGGTCTGGAGGCTGAAAGTCCAAGATCAACGTGCCAGCAGGCTTGTGCTCTCCTGAGGCCTCTCTTCATGGCTTGTAGATGGCCAGATTCTTGCTGCGTCCTCACACGGCCCTTCCTCTATGTGCATGCATCCCCGCCGTCTCTCCGTGGATCCACATTTCCTCTTCTTACAAGGACACCAGTCAGATTAGGGTGAGGCCTCTTGTTAACTTAATCACCCCTTTGAAGGCTGTATGTCCACTATAGCCACACCCTGAGATGTCAGAGGTGATGGCCTCAGCAGACGAATTTGTTGGGGGAGGGGCACAATCCATCCCATACCAGGTAGAGGTATGAGGAGAGGCAACTCGGGACAACGTGACAGAAGAATCTTGGAGATCCTGCAACCATTGCTATGAACGAGAGGATGGGGTGTTCTCTGTGGCCCCAGGACCCTCCAGAAGGAAGTTCAAGGCAGGCAGATTTTGCCTCCACGTAAGGTAGAATGTTCTGACACTTAGAACTGCCCATGACTGAGGCTAGCGTTGCAATTTTTCAACGGGGAGGATGTATTGGTGCGGCCGAGGGTGCTGAAGGTTGATTAGACGAGGTCTAGGTTCTTAAACCTTTCTATTAAGAAGCACGAAATAACTGAAGAGATGCCTATTTCTGTGCCTTGGAAAAGATCTATGGGTTCCATAACTTGATCCCTGTCAAAAAGAAAACCACAGCCCCCGAGGGGTGTCACTTTGGCCGGGTGAGTTTACACCTGACCTGACTGTGGGTCGGGCCTCCCGCAGAAATGTAGTCTCAGCCTGGGAGTCAGGAATTCTCCGGTGGGCACAGATGGGGTGACCGGTCTCCTGGACCTTCTCCATTGCCCCCACCCCAGGAAGAGGAGGGCATCTGCGGGATCAACCCCCACCCACCCAGGGAAGGTGACCCGGCCCGAAACAACCCTTCCTTTCTTTTGTTAATAACTTCCTTGTCCCACCCTCCTTCCTACAAAAACCTTCCATTTTGTTGGGACTCGAGCCGCCCTGTACTCACTGGATGGGGCGCTGCTGCCCCATTCATGAGTGGCTTAATAAAGCCCGTCAGATCTTTAAATTACTCGCTTGAATTTTTGTTATTTCACATCTCCTTGGAAGCTGCTTTTCTGAGTGATGTGACCAAGGGTCCTGTAATTAATGACATATGAACCCTAATTCCTAAAATAGTTTATAGAATTACTGAGATCATTTCAAGTGAACATGCTTTGCAAAATAAGTTGCTTTCGACCCCCCAACTAGTCCTAATTAGCTACATGTATCACATAGCTGGAAAACTGTAGTTTGGATCCAAGATCACCACATAAGAATGATGAATAAAACACACTTTTTCAGAGGAATCACATGTGAAGAAGGTAATCTATGCGACTATTATCACTTTTTTTTTTTTAATTTTTTTTTCAACGTTTATTTATTTTTGGGACAGAGAGAGACAGAGCATGAACGGGCGAGGGGCAGAGAGAGAGGGAGACACAGAATCGGAAACAGGCTCCAGGCTCTGAGCCATCAGCCCAGAGCCCGACGCGGGGCTCGAATTCACGGAGCGCGAGGTCGTGACCTGGCTGAAGTCGGACGCTTAACCGACTGCGCCACCCAGGCGCCCCTATTATCACTTTTTAATGGCACTTTGTGCCAGCTCAGACTGGGCTTACAGCCAGCAGCACAGACATGACTTAGTACTCTCTCCACTCTTTTAAGAGTCTGCTTTCTGTGCTAGGTAAGATCCATGCGTCTGGTGGGTCAGATGAATGCATAAAACGCTTCTAGGGAATCACACTGGCAGCTAAATATTTATGGGAAAACGTTCACACCTGTTTTCCTTCCAATGTCTGAACAACATTCTCTGAAGTCATCACCACCATGCACGTGAGGCCGCGCCGTGCCGAGGGCAGTGCGGGGGCCCTGGGAGGGGTACAGAGGTGCAGGTAGACCCTGTGTGCTGGGATTAGGAAGCGCACTGGGAAGGATACTCTGCCTCTTCTTCCGGGAGGATCCCTGTACTGGAGAAGTGCTTCTCCACTGAGGGCTACTTTGCGCCCAGGGAACAGCGGCCAACGCCTGGAGACAGCACGAATTGTCACAGCAGAGTTGCACGGTATTATGGCATCTAGCAAGCAGAGGCCACGGTGCTGCTAAATGTCTACAAGACACAGGACAGGCCCCCGCGACGGTGATCCAGCCCCAAACATCAGCGGTCCACAGATGACAAAGCCCGCGCTGGAGTGTGACACCCATGAGCCTCGGGACCTTCCCTCCCTCAGGCGAGAGGGGAGTTGGGAGAAGCATGGCACACCCCCTTCTCTTCCCCTCACCTGCTGGCACCTGTCACCTGCCAGCCCCCGTCTGCCCGCGAGGGAGCGCCTCCTCCGCTCTGCTCTCGCCCCCATGGTAAACTGAGTGGGGTCCAGCTCGGCCCGGTTCTGGGGTTCAAACTGAAAACTGTCATAGAATTCTAGATGCTATTTTGAGTTACATCTGACTCCTCTCTCTCTCTCTCTCTCATGTCTCTCTTCATCAGTTCCGGATGTAGGAGCAGAACTAGAATGTCTCATTGGCTTCCTAAAAATAAAATCCCAACATCAGTGAGTGACCCCCAAATCTGAAATGGATGGCAGGCCTGAACTAAAATCTGCAAACATCAGCGCTTAATAAATAACGAGTTGATGGGGCTCGGCGAGTATTGAATTAGAAGTGCACTGACTTGGGGTCCTCAGGAGATCCACGGGAGCCCAAGGAATTCGGAAGGAGGCCTGAGAGTGAAATCAAGGACCTCAAATCCGAGGAAACCTTAAGGAGAGGGTCTTAGCTTTAATAGCCACCAAAGAGAGAGGACTGTAATACTACTCTAGAAACACCTTTAAAATATTTTTTAAATTAAAAAAAAAATGTCCCTATGCATGGGGACAATGTCAACTAGACATACCGTGGCGGTCGTTTCACAACAGATACAAATATCAAATCACGGCGTTGCACATCTGACGCTAACACAATGTCGCATGGCAGTTGTATCTCAGTGAAAAACCAATTTAAATAAAACTTTTAAAACTATTTTTAAATGATCCACCGCGTCGGAAAAGGCCACTGTAGGAGACAATGGCCAGAGCCTGGAGTCAAGCCAGGAGTACGAGGGAGTCCCTTCTCGTATGTAAACCACTGCACTTTCTTTTTGCCCACAGCAGTGGGAGCCTGACATGCTCTCTGAAGGTAAATGGAATTGCTTGCAAAATATGAGGATATTATACGGCAGTCTTGGCTCTAAAAACTCAATTAAGCCCGCCGTTACACTTGCCGTCAGAGTTTCAATAAGGGTGGTTCACCCTTGATTTTCCAGAACACTCTCTGCAGTTAATATCTTATTTCCTCAAAACGCCCAAATGCAGACTATGGAGCTGGCTTCTCGGCTAACAGAAGCCATCTGTACCCTCTCCCCCCTCCCCAGCTCTACGGTCCAGGCCTCCAGAGGGCAAGGGGTGGCCTCACTTATTCAGGAGGAAGAAAAACGAAACGTGCTTTTGCAAGAGCCGCGAGTAGACAAAGTAAGAGAATCCAGAGTCCTGACTTGCCACCTTTGTTTCCATCCATGACACAAAAGGGAAATGCTCATTGGCTTGAAGTGTAAGCGGGTCAACTACTCACAAATCAATCTGAAAAAGGGCTAAGGCATCCAGAGATAAGTCGGCAAAGGAATTAAGCACTCTCGCCACTCCCTTCGGCCACATGCCTGTCACTGTGTGTAGGGCAGTGCAAACACGCACCCCCACTAGACTCACCGACCGTTCCAGAGGGGCAAGGATCGAATCCCATTCGCCCCTGCACGGCTACCATCTAAAGAAACGCTGACGCACGGGAGCTACTCTAGTGTTGTTTACTGAATTTAATTCAGTTCAAAGGATACGGGAACAGACAAGTCACAGAGGAGGAGAAATGCAACTAGTTAAGGGACATATAGAATTTCTAGCAATTAAAGAAATGCCACACGTAGCCGATGGGTTTCAAACGCACCTGCCTTCATTTGAAATGAAAGCGGACGCCTGTGATCAAGACCCGGAAAAACGCTGTAATCTTTCACCCAATATTTCTGCTTTCAGAAAACCATTTTATTTTTATTTTTTAAAATAAATGGTTTGAGAGAAAGCGCGTGTGCACACGCGTGCGCACACACACACACACACACACACACACACACACACACACACAAAGTGGGGAGGGGCAGAGGGAGAGGGAGAGAGGGAATCCCGAGCAGGCTCCATGCTGTCAGCACAAAGCCGGATGCTAATAGTCACCACTGATGAATTTCCTCACTGCAATTGTGATGAGACTCTTTAAATGTATCCTTTGAGCCTCAAGAGACAAGGACCACAACAACCTCATGTGCAGGTAGTACCCCCGTTTTAGGGATGAGAAGCAGAGGTTCCCCAGACATTAGCTAAGGTAGGGCAGGCCACGACAGCCACGCGGCTGGGGAGACACAGTCACGACTCAAACCAGATCTGTGGGCATCTTCTTCTCTATTGCATTCCAAGGTTATAATCTTAAACAGCACACGTTTTCTGCACCAGCTTATTCATTTCAATTTTATTTATTGAAAATCTACAAAGCTGGGCGGCACCTGGGTACCTCAGTTGGTTAAGCGTCTGACCCTTGATTCTGGCTCAGGTCATGATTTTGAGGTTCATGCACTCAAGCCCACGTCGGGCTCCGTGTTGATGGCATGGAGCCTTCTTGGGATTCTCTCTCTGCCCCTCCCCTGCTTGCATGTACTCTCTCTGCCTCTGTCTCTCTCTCTCTCTCTCCCCCCTTCTCTCTCTCAAAATAAAAAATAAACATTAAAAAAATCTAGGGGCACCTGGGTGGCTCAGTCGGTTAAGCATCCAACTTCCACTTGGGTCATGATCTCACGGCTCATGAGTTCAGGCCCCATGTCTGGCTGTGTGCTGACAGCTCAGAGACTGGAGTCTGTTTCAGATTCTGTCTCTCTGTCTCTCTCTGTCCCTCCCCAACTCATGCTCTGTCTCTCTCTCTCTCTCTCTCAAATATAAATAAACATTTAAAAAAATCCACAAAGTTGGAAATGATCTAAATAAACCACAGAAGAAAACAATTAACTATGAGACATTAATGGAATATTATGGGCCAAAAATTGTATTTAAGAAGATCATGACATACGATAGGAAATATTTAAGATACAATGTTAGACACAAAGCAAAATTGTGATTGCAATGTGATTTCAATTAGAAAACAAGTTTATATATAGAAAAATGGTAAGGAATATTCTAGAATTATGGCAATTAAGACTATAAAAGATATTTTCCCTTATTCCAGTTTCTTGTTTTCACTATTGTAGTTCTTGAATTTTGACTGTTAGTTATAAAGGCAGGTTTTGATTTCACCGAAAGGCAGAAATGATGCATATTATAGGATTATGTGATGCTTGTTAAAAGGACACAGAGCTTTATAAGGAAATACCACTTTACTCCTGTTACCGGAGATGTTTGCACTTAAAAGCTCAGCAGTTTGAGTGGCAGGTGATTCATATGTCACGGATCAACACCTAATTATAGGGCGACAGCACTAAGCTGCAAGGTGGCAAGAATGATCCTGGCTCAGCATCACTTCTGTCTCCCCTTCTGATGAACCAAACAGCCAGAACTTCCCCGGAGGAGAGAGCCTGGGGGCTCCCTCTTCCCCACTGTATGTTTGCCTCAACTGACATCTATGGTCCTTTACCAGCTTCTTGTTGAAGTTTTCTGGGACCATTCTATTTTCTGGGCAGCTCTGTTTGATCTCTATCTAGCTTATCAGCCATGGAATTTAGGGAGAATTAACTT